AAAGGATTTTAAATGTCAAATCAATAGATCAGTGTTGGTTTATATTACATTTTAGAATACTCTGTGCCCAGTGGGAGTCAAAGGAGCTAAAATTAGACCACTATGTCAAAGAAGTATATAATTCTTTAAGTGATTGTTTGTGTGACGGTTCTTCTTTTAGAATTTTTATTTTCAGTTTTAAAGCTTTAATTGTAAGTAATTTATGTAAATATACTTAGTTATATAGATACATAAAACAATTGGACCAAGAGTGTGTGGGATCCTTTGATGATTATTTTTTGTAAATACTCGTATCATTGATTCATCATTTCATGTAAGCCTGTTACGATGAAGTGTGTAAATGCAAATACAAGGGTTACTTTGGAAAAATTTAAACTGATGCGCTTATCATGGCGCGTATGAGTTATGAGTATGACCCTGTACAATAAACTACAAAAACAATACACTACAAAAATGTCACAGCGTTAGGCTGAGGAGGATTCCAAATAAATACTAATGCAAAACCTCATTTACCTAAAGCTATTTTTTTTATATTACGTTGTTGTTTTTCCCTCCTTTTCTTGTGTTTCGTTTGTAAGAAATCGTTAAGTTCTGTAAGATATATTTGGACACCGAGCCTGAAACATCTATAATAATCGTTTATTCTATACTCTCTTCAATAATATTTTCGTAAGTATTTTTTAATTTAGTGCTTATCGCGATAAAATCCTAAAATATGGTTTTTCTATTCCAGGGGTATTTGTGTATTGTGTATTTACCTATTGTCAATTGTCATTTCAAATGTTAAAATTAGACACGAAGTCACGAAGACACGGTAAATGTAAATGTTGATGTGATTTTTTTTGGAAGTTTGCAACCAAAACCAACAAAAAATTAAACTTCCACATCTGGCGATTTTCCAAAAAATTTTATTTTGAATTTGAATATTACCGTAAATAATAATAGTTCACTTGAAAATATTTTTTCTCAAAACGTCAAAAAAATATTCGTTTTTAGACAATAAAGTAGGTAATAGTATGTATAAATTAGGTAATTCACATGTGAGCAGTTTAATTTGTTTGCAACTTCGCTCATGTCAGTTCTTTTCATCAATGTAATTTTTCAACATTCCCTACGAACTATGGAATGTGCCCAGGCCATACCGAATAATAACACCGGTCAACATGAATTTTGAGTCTGATTGTTATTCTTTCAACACTGCTAAATAAGCAAAAAAATTGTTTCATTCGAAAAAGTTTGCTTTTGTAGCTTTCAGAACGAAATTAAGATTTTCAGAAAATTTTCCTACTTTTACACATTTATTGCATGTAAAAAAATAAAATAAAAATCTTTTTTTTTTATGAATTTGGATCAGTTATACTAAAAACGTTCTATTTGTATACAATAAAATTTTACAAGGGACTAGCTAAGATGTTCACCCACTGAATGTCCCACAGGCTTGACGTGCGCCGCTATTGTTCAACCTGAAAAAGAGTAGCTAAGAACCGCTCGGATTACTGGTCTTCTACTTGTCCGATTTTAAAATTGCAAATTATGGTGGTTATGAACCGTTGTGAAGGCTTAAACCATCATAAAATTTTATTGTATTCAAAAGGAACGTTGTCACTGTACATGAGAAATAAGGCACCCACTTTTTGTCTTGACTTCAAACAAGTAGTTTAAAATAAGCTTCATATGCTACAAAAAGTCTAACAATTGTAGCCGAAGCAAATTTTTTATCCCTTGTTTTGATAAATTCTCCGTACCGTATATGTAGCAAAATGAATGTGCATCGTGTTTACAACTTCTTGAAGATATTTTTGTATTTGGCGTCACATGAAATATATTGTATGGCTACCACGCGCACGCGCACACTAATTATAAATCACATGATTGAAATTGCCCTAGCCTTATTTTTAACTAAAGTAATTATTTTATTATTCAAAATCTTAAATATTTATCTATTGCTGTGAAAGTTACAAAAGCAAAGTTATCGACAAGAAAACGAAGTTTTTCCTGATTTTTCAATATAGAGAATCGGAAAATAATGATTAAAATAAAGACTCAAACATTTTTTTTGTCGACCGTTGTAATTCGGCATTGTCACCCATCCACTTTAGATGAGCTGCCGCGAACTACAGAACTGTATACATTTCACAACGAGCTGTATCTATGTGATATAATATTGTAGTCTTGCATTTGAAAAGAACGAGGAGATTTTTACAGTTCATGCCAATGATGTATTATTGTAAACATCAAGTGAGAAGTTATGAAGTGTGGATAGAGTACTACTTTATTAAAAAATGAAACTGGACATGATGGGTAATTCAGGTTCCTATTGATCACTGAGAAGGAATGGGAATAAGACGTTCATTTCACTGTCATTTGTCCATTTTTATTTTATTTATTTATTTATTTATTTTTTGAATAAAATAGTAATAATTTTAGTAAAAACATCCAGACTTTAGACATATCGTTACTAAAGTACCTAACTTGAGCCTAAATAAGTGAATTTCCCGTCACGTATGTTATGAAAACAATTTATTCTATTATTCTATTTAAATAGTGTTAGAACCATAAACAGCTAAAAATCTTAACATGAATTGTAGATATACAAGCAATAAAACAAAAGTAACGTGTTGGCGAAATTCGCCCAAGTTTCAACAACATTTTAGATTATAAAATCGCTAATTAACTGGTGTTACAAGTTACACTAATTACACTACTTTGAAGGCGTCGAATGCGATTCATTTTTGTTTAAACTATTGCCCTTGGGTGAAATTACAAACAAAATTCTACCTACCAATTTTAACACATTTTTACACTGAAAGCAAGAATTGCTAATCATACACGGGTGATTTGAATGAAGTTTTATTTTTCAAATGGGATTTCGCGGTACTGTCTTGATTTTTCTCTATACCAAATTTAATTTGTCAAATCGGGAGACCACATGAGATTTTAAAAACCTACATGTTACATTTTATCATAGGATTCGATTATTTAGCTTTGAGGGTGTTTCAATTTTTTCAACAATATCTTCTTTGTCGTACCATAAAACATTTATGGGATCCGGCCATCAATTTTTTGGCCCCTCATGTTGACACCACTTTTATCCATAACATTGACTTTGATCTTTTGATCAACTGTGTTAAAAATTTGTCCCAGGTAGTACATCTTTTCATATTTGATAATAACAAAATCATTCCTTTTGTAGGGTCGTTTGTCAACCAATTATCGTTTCTTGGAAGTATTTGCTTCTCTTTGTTGTTGCTTTTTTTCATGCAACCTCTTTCGTTCTAGTTTTTGGTTTTCTTTTATATTCTTTTTTCCGATGATCCAATCGGAAAAGCTCGCCACAGAAGAATTTTTTTCTTTGGGCAATTTCTTTTTTCCTTTCCGTTTTTCTTTTCCGGAGTTTTTGGCCAGACCAGAACCTTTTTGAAAGGCTATGGAACATAAGTTAATGTTTTGTCATTCTGTTTTTCAGGAGTTATTGGATGAACTTCAATATTTTGATTCTCACGTTCTGTTGTCTCACTATCTATAATGTAGTTGTGATTTCTTCAACATGTTCATCAAAGTTTTAAGCGTTCTCAGTAAAATTACTCTTTTCAGAACTGGAATTTTGGAATCATCATCAACTGGTACAATGCGTTAATCCCCAATGGTACCTCTTATCAACCACTGATACATTAAGCACTGCAAGAGTACCAGTAGATGAACTGCAGTTTTATGGATTACTACCTAATTCTATTGAGAACTAATATATTTTAAATTATTTTTCAAACATAAAATGACATGCTAGGAGTACAAACATTAATTTGACCAACGTTTAAGGCCAAATAATAAAATTATTTTGGTACTCACTTGCTTAGCGATCTACGTAAGAGAAGCTGTGAAATTGAGCTGGAAAGTGACTTCAGATTTTTATTAAGATTGCCATTTACCAATACCTCATTGTACAAAAGTGCAATAAAAACAGATTTCATACAGACATCTTCAAGATAATATTTCTATAAAGATTTTACGGATTTCTGCTCTGCAATTCTTATTTTGTAATTAGTTTTGCATGTTTGATCATCCACTGGGACCCTATCACTGACTGGGACTTTTACCTTAGTGACATGAAGAACCCTGGGAGTCCCCACTCCTGCCTTGACCTCCCGTTGGCTCTCTAACGCTTTCCCCGAAGGGAGAACCACCATCAAGAACCTTTTCACTACCCCTCGAGTCCAACATTAGGCCACTGTTACGAATTCACTGTTTTTACTGAGTTTTGTCAAAAACTGTAATCCTATTTCAAACCGATCTATACCTACCACATGATGACATTTTATCCTAAAAAATAGATTATTTGTGTTCTTAAGCGACTGACAGTTTAAATTATCAATCAAGTTACAATAGTGGACTCCATGATATGAATTCTTTGCAATAAGCAGCTTAACTTTAAATATGTATATTTAAAGTCTCTAGACCATGGTCTCTGGCACCGTGGTCTCTGGTAATAACCCTGTCAACAGCTGTCAATTTTAGCATAATGTTTGATAGTTTGATGCCTGTGCGTCATTCGTTAGGGATTTTTTATCTTGATGTTTAAATGACCGAAAACATTTGGCAGGTTGTCAGTTTTTAAAACATCAAATTTTTAAGTCATGGTTGACAGAAAAAAGAGAAAATTATTAAAAGAAGACGTTAAGGAAACGTAACCTTCAGTGACATGGTGCTTAACATGGTTACTAAATCGACCCTTATTGGTTACGAATACAGGGGAAGAAATAAAGAAGTCACAGTCACACTGCCGAAAATATAAATGTGTGACCTTGACAGGTTAATGCACGTGAATCAAATAGAGGTAACTGACTTTTGCAGTTAAAATGTGACCATCACTGTCGCACTGTCCCGGTCTCTATTCTTTTTACATTAGTGACTTCAGTCTCTTCAGCGATGTAATTTAACATAGGCAACTTAAAATACACACCACTGCAGTCCCGTCAGGTGTTATATTTTCGCGCGAACTCGCACAATGCGGAACTCGTGTTTCAGTCGGCGCAGCGAACTCAGTGATCGGAAGATCGGAATCACACCATCAAGACAAAAAAATGTGTCAAGAAACGCCAAACGTCACGTGTAGGTTAGTCAGACATCTCTTTCGCTTAATAAACATCATCAATCATTAACCATAAAATAGCAGCATAATAATGAACAGATAACAGTGGTGTGATCGCTTTTTTACCAGGATGTCGGACCCTCCTGTCATGGAGTGGACTGTGAGAGACACAGAAGTGTGGTTAAGAAAGGAAGGTTTCGACGACACCGTTATCAAAATACTGTGCCACGAAAATCAGCTCAACGGTAAATGTCTTCTCGTTCTGAATGAACACGATTTTGCCACCGAACCGTTGAACACACTCAAATTAAAAGATAGGAAATGTCTGTATATATCGTGCAAGTCTCTCCAAAGGGATAACCAGAATATTTTAATGGATCTGGGCCTACTCGAAATTCCTAGCGTCAATTTATATGCTCCTCAAAGTCATTTTAATAAACATGAATGTAGTGAATATAGTGAATCAGAAAGGGTGTCTCCGCCTGTTTCAGAAGATGGTCGGATACATAGACTGCCAGCAGAAAAGACCAAAGCATTGCTTAGTTTTTGTTATGTCGTAGTTGTTACGTGGATTACTGCGTTTGTTATGGTCATAGTACATGATAGGGTTCCTGATATGAAGAAATATCCACCACTTCCTGATATTTTTTTGGATAATGTACCTCACATACCATGGGCCTTCGATATGTGTGAAGTTACTGGAACACTTTTATTTACAATTTGGTTAATAGTGCTGCTTTTTCACAAACACAGGTAGGTCTTCCCTCGTATGTTCTTATTATCATTAAGTAAAGTACATAGATAAGTTGTTTACAGAATAAAGTGCTTTTATTTATGCACTAAAAAATATTTCTTTATGCTACAATTGTTTAAATCGTTGGATGAGTAGTCATCTTGTAAAAAAAAGCGGCTGCGTCTGTATTAGTAACACAAAAACATCCAAAGTTCAAAGTCTACAGAAATTAAATATGAACAATTTATCAGTTAATAATAGATTTTTTCAGAATTTACGTCTTTTTACGTATGGAATTTAACGATTAACGTTTCAAAAGTAATGTTTAGCTTTAATTACTGGTGTTATGTTTCACTGCACATAAAGTAGCCTTGATGTCAATCAGCAGGACATACAAACCAATAAATATATCATACATTTATAAGGACAGTAAACTCATTTATTTATACTAAAATTTGTATAGAAACTCCAAGTTGCTTTTTGTTGTACATTAAAAAAAAAAAAACTACTCCCTCCGTCCGAAATATGGTATTCATTTGTAACTTTATTTAGAGCTTCTGGAAAACATACCAATCTCGTTGGTAACCTTCCCTCACGACGAAGTTTGGATTTATTAAGATGAAGTATTTTATACTTAAAATTAATTAAATAAATAAATAAATAAATAAATTAGATTATTATAATATATTATTATTTATTATAATAAATAATTTATTTTATTTAATTATTCTTTCTAAAATCTCATATTTTTTAATTCAGCGGGTGTCGATTTATTTTGTTGTTATTAAAGTAATTTTCTCGGTCACTTTTTTAACAGAAACGAATGTAGATCTCAGTCCATTATTTATATAATGTTCCATTATTATACAAGTTGCGAACAAAATTACTTGATTATAATTTGCTAGTCATCACTCGTTAATTATAATAAGTTTGTAAAATGTATACCATATTTTCGGAGAGAGGGAGTCATATTTTCTAGAAGATAATAATCTAGTCTCGTTACTAGGTAACATATTCAAGATTCACCATTGCATGATTAAACAAACTATGAAAGTTATGTCCAAAACCACTCTCGTTTTTTTAATTTTCTGTCATTTTCTCTAGGTATAGACCAAAATAATAAATGAACTAAAGGAAAACTATATCTAAATTAATTCATCTGTTTCTTATGTAGCACAAATGAAAAAACGCATTAAAAGACTTTGAAAAGAGGGATTCGGACGCCAAGATGAGTACAGACCTGTTCAACAATGGTGCAAAAACTGAAAATATTACCTGAATATTTTTTTCTTTAAATGTTATTTAAAGTTTCATTTGTATATTTGTATTCAGGAAGTAAATAAATTTGACTGTTATGAAAGACACAAACAATAATTTAGACAGTTAATAACGGGGAATCATTTTACAAAATAACTGCAGACGTAAAAATTTAAATATTAATGACGTCATGTAGCATAATATTATAGTGTTGATAAGTTGTAAAGTCGTTTTCAATTGCAAATTAGTATAAATTTGTTTTTAGTGCTACAAAGTTTTGAGTTAAAAGCGATATCAAGTCGTGAAGGTAGTCTTTGTTAAATAAACAATAAAACATGATTTTTGTATTTCAATGTGTTTAAAGTTCATTGTCTGATACTAATAAATAATACCATTAATTCTCCGATAATCATTGAAGATCTATTGTCTCATTCTGATAAATAATATGGATATTGAGATGATTACAAATTAGCCATTATTGCAGTAGTTGACATTTGTTTGATTCGTTGAAGTAAAAAAAAATTGAACCGACTTTGGAGCATTACCTCATGGCCTTGTTAGATCGCACTATCAAGAGCTTTAATTATTTTTTACAATAATTTTATTGACTTGTTGATAGTGATAAATAATTTTGGTATTTATCAATGTAACTAAATAATCGTAACTGCACCTAGAATTTCAAGGAAATGAGACTCGCCTGTACGGATATAATATATTAATTTTCTGAAACAACTTATGTAATCAATTCTTTAAAATAGAAAGTTGTGTTTAAAACACAAAGTAGTGACGTATTTTTCATTGTATTGTCATTCATTCATCTTTTTTATTTTCCGAACTTAGGCTAAAAAAGTATTGCAATAGGGTTCGTCCGACGAACGACTAATTTTTATATCATCATGTTTTCTCGACGTTTCATGATCCCTAGAGTGTGAAAAAATAGGTCTTTCGTTTACGTCTATCTATCTATGTCGATTTCATTAGACAGATAATTTCCGAAACTACTGGAATGATTGTTGTGAAATTTTAAACGTATACTGGGAATATCGTGCTTATGACAAAACGTTAACCAAAATTTGTTTCATCATCCCTATCAATAATTGAATGACGGTTTCTCAAAATTTTGCTCATGCTACTTGCATTTTATAAGATGACACACTTCTGTACTTGTGGTATATGAATGAATTTGCCATTATTTTTTGCCATAGACATCTAAATTTGTGGAAAAAATAAGTCAAAATTGTATAACACCATTTTACAATTTAACTTTGAAAGTGCAAAACGGAATTCTCTAAAAGCATGGTAAATCGTTAAGTAACGTTAGACCAGTTTTTTGAAATAACGTCAACGGCTTTCTGGGGGCCTAAATCAATCAATTTAATTAATTTTTTGCACTCATGATCTTTTTTGATGGCTTTCGTGCATTCACCAGAGTGCGGGAGTTCGAACTTCCCGCACACGTGCATTTTAACTTCCCGTTGCCATGGTAACCTTAAAATACTCGCGTAGTGTCAACATTGTGATGTGTTGACGGCGCCATTGTTTATAAATAACTCACAGTTAATTTCTTCAGTTTAAAGGTTTATTCGTTGCAAAAAATATTGTACACAACACGTTCGTGAGCCTGCTTCCCGCATTCACGCAAATGCGGCACTCCCTTCGGTCGTGCCGCAAACAAGCATTCATGCGGGAAGCAGGCTATCCCGAACTAGTTGTGTAAATTACTATTTCAAAATTATATAATGGAAATGTTTCAAAAAAGCAAAACCATATTTCTGGAACATAAGTACCACCGCATCTCAAATTTTACTTTATGACCTGTAATCTCGTGTATGTTGCACCAATTTCAGAGCTAACTGTAAAATTTGGTGGTCCAAACTGTTTTCATGTAATGTAGATTTTAAAACAGATGGGTTATTGCACATTCAGAGCGATATTTACGTAGAAATGATTTGAAATGCCGTCACAAATTTTTGGATGATATGAATAGACCAATTTTTGCAAGCGTTTTATCACCGCGATAATTTTAAAGTACCCATAAATTTCAAAGTAATCACTTTGGGCTAATAAAATCGCCAACAAACGGATGAAAACTAAAAATCAACATTTGTGAAAATGTTGTTATAACGATGCCTTCCAACTTTAATTTTTAGATTTTTTATTATCATTTTGTGTAATTAGTTTTGATGATACGAAGATATTGTTGTATAATATGAAATGTTTTTTATTTTAAATTTGGTCTCTTTCTTAAGTCGCACTTTGATGGTAACATTATTCGTTTCGCTCGCCTTTGAGTTGTGGTCGAGGTTGTCTTCTGAGCTATATTTTAGATCTTTTAATCTAACATCTCGTTTTGGTTTTCGTTCGTCTGGTTGTTTTGCTTATGTTTTTTCTATTTTTCCACATATCCACTCTTTTATTTGTTTTATTTCACCTTTCAATTAAATTGCTTTATTTCATTGAAGTTTCTTCCTTTTCATTTCGTCGTTTCATGTACTCCTCCATTACCTATATGTATTTCTTCATCCATTGCTGTGGTTTGTGCTCATGTCTCTACAGCCATAAAAGGTTGCAGTTTCAAAAATCTTACCACCTCTTTCTTATTTCTTCAACAGAATGTTTAAGAATGTGGTCGTTTTTCTTACCATCTTTGTGTAACTATCGGTTCAGTTGATTATTATGGTACAAACCATCTTTTATACCGTTTCTACCCACGAAATATTTCAGAAATCTTCTGATAATAATCCTTCCAACTTTATTCGATGGTGGAACTATTCTACACAGGATAATGTTCTGAGCCATTCTCGATTCTTCATCGCCTAGCTTATTAATTCTGAATTTCATTTAACTTGAAAGACAGAACTGTAAAGTCGAAGAAATCAGTTATTTGAGTTAAAGTTGAAAAAAATAGGTCCCTTGTTTCTAAAATACAATCAGTTGAAGAAGTTCGATTTCTTGGATAAATAATATTTGATTTGGCGATTTTTTTTTACGATAATGTTGCAATAAAAAATTTTAGGTTTATTATTAAACTACAGATAAAGTAGTATACCTGTTGTATGTGTCAAGTAAAATTTTTAACTTTTTGTTGGAAACAAACATTATTACACCTTAAATTTCAAGCGAGATTTGCCTAACAAAATTTTGGGATGACGTTATCAAGTTTTTGAAAATAATGAATAGGTGAATTCTGATTAACTGTTTAACATGTTCGTGATAACCTTAAAGTTTATGCATAGTTTCAGAGTAATCGGTTCGGCTACGGTTTTGTGATTTCTAGGTTACATTGTAAAAAAATTCTTATAAAAATCTACACAACTAAAGTGAAAATAGAAATGGACTAGTAAATCACGTATAGAGGAATCATAATTCTGCGTATTTTAATTTAGATTTACTTGGCAAAATTTTGAAATAAAAAAAAAAACTCATAAAAGAAATGCACTTTTAGTGTCCCCTTTCCTGCTCAAATGACAAATATTTCGATAAAGTTTTATGTTTAGGAATGAGAATTAGTTTTTGTGTACTCAGATTTTGCTATGTAAAGCTGGTTTTAAATGGACGTGACTTGGCTCCAACAGTAAAAAGTAATACGCATTTTAAAAGTTACTTCATTGGTTTGCTTCAGATTTTGCAGAGGTTGATGTATATTTGTCTACAAAATATGGAACAAAAATAGTAGGAAGTTTATCTTATTTATTAACGACAGTATTTAAGTTTGCGCAATTTTGCACTTGTTTTGTATTTTTCTAGTACAATTGCAAAATTTGTTGACGTAAATAATTAGAATTTAATTGCTGTGCACAAATTTACTTGATTTTATATTAATTATCAAATCGAGGTGTTTTCAAGCAATATGACCTTCACTGATCCAAATAAATATGTCCTGAATTTATGGTGTTATTACTGATTGTCGATGTATACTATATTTTCCCGTCAGTATGACGGCAAACAAAATAGTGTATTTTTTCCAAATATGTGTTTTGTATTGTTATTTCACACGTAAAATGCATCAATTTATAATAACAAATAAATTTTAATCATGTGTAATTTCGAGGTTTGAATTTTATTGCTTGTGTTGTTATCATAAAATTACAACAAACGCCGGAAGTTTTGATATTTTTATTATTCAGCTAATTAAGATACTTTGTATGGATATAAATTTGTCACAAAAATTTATAATATGTAAAATTTACTGGGACCGATATACAAAGATGGGAACTTTTTAAGTACTGTGATTTATTACTGTAAATTACAATTATTTTATCTTTTGAAAACTGTTAGAAAAACAAACATGTGCATTGTAAATAAAGTTATACGTGTTAGTTTTAAGTTCAATTGTCATGCTGCTTTAAGGCATATTGGTTTGAAAATAATAGAAATATTTAAAATTACTCGAAACAAATGTTGAACAGGCAGAAAATAATATGAAAATATGAATCACAAAAAAATAGTGTATTAACATAGTGATCGTTTTATCTGTAGTTGAAAGTGTTGCCAATTTGATTTTTTTTATCAATGTAGGGACTGAGATAAGATCATAATAACACCGTAGTCTGAAAACATATTTAGGATTTACCAAGTAGCTCGAAGGAGAAAAATTAATACAATATGTTTTTTATGATTTAAGACCCATCACATTATCGATATTTTTCCAAAAAATGAAAATCTGTACTGTCGTTAATGTTTACATGGTAGATTTTTAAAAATTGTTTTTGCGTTATAACTTTTAAAACTTATATCTACGCTGTGCACATTTCAGTTAATGTTTGTCCAGAATTATAAGAATTTTATGGACTCCCAACGTTAATTTGTTTTACAGCCCTGTCGTCAATTCTATTGTACAGGTAAAGAGTCTGTCAGGAAAAAGCCGATGTTTACTGTACCTGAGTTGGCCCCGCTCTTCAGCTGTACAGTAAAATTGACAACAGGGCTGTAAAACGAATTAACTTTGGGCGTCCATAAAATTCTTATAATTCTAGACAAACTTTACAGTTACAGTTTTATAGCTTGTCCAGAGGTGTTCCGTTCTCAGTGGTAACAATATGCATACAATAGGATTTAAATAGTTAAATAGGTTTAGATAGTAGATAGTCCTATACTGTTGACGGTAGGTAAATAGATTTTAAAGGGTGGGTGGTTATTAAGGGTGCCACAAACTAAATACGAATAAAGTTCTAAACACGGAATGTAGCTGGTTCCACTATAAAATCATTTTCAACTAAAGTGAATATTATTCAAAGAAATTGATGATAACTTTGTTAAATACCGATAACATTGTATACTCAGTTCCGCTCACACCTCTAAAACAGCGAACAGTAGTGCTGTGCTAGGAGACGCCCATCGAAATTTGGACGCCCAATATTTCTAGAATATTAATTAATAACAACAATTGCCAAGGTCGTGGCAACATGTGTTGCACAAATACGACTTATTTTTTTCATTGATTATTATTATGCAACAGATAAAAAAATACAAAATCACGTTATATAGGAGGTGCATAAAGCAATCATGTAAGGTCATTTTAATTAACATATTTATGTCTGATGGGCCATGGCTAATTAAATACACCGAAAACACAACTAGTTTTAATTCCATAATATTAATCAAGTGAGTAGCTTTTAACTGTAAAAATTATGATTTGTTCTAAATTCAATTTATTTTAATATTCAGTCACATAAAAACGTGAGCAATCAATACAATTTAAATTTTTCGACTATACATTCGTGCACAAAATATAAGTATTTAATTTATTAGATTTCTACGTTACTCTTTAATTGTACGTATATATCTATATCATGCCGAAATTAATGCAGTCGGGTGTAATTTTTCGTGACATGAGTTTTTAACTTTTTATTATTATACTAAGGTAACTATTTTTTATGATACCACAAACATAACACTTTTAATGAACATCCGTTACATTTTTTTTATGTAGCACAGAATTCTTTTAACTATTTGGATATATGCCGATGTCTTTAGGAAGAAATTAAATTCTAGTGCTATTTTTCTTAATAACATTTTACTATATGCGAAGCAAAGTATTAACTTCCGGTTGTTTTGCAGGGTCATAGTAATCCAATAATAGAATGCATTACGTGTTACAAAAATTTCCAAACGATCATCTGTTCAGTGAAAGAAGTGTTGATCACACCGTGTGTTGTAAATATCGAAGAAATTCAGTAAAAAATTCAACAACAAAAATTTATAAAAATATTCGGACTATGTTTTCTTTGTCCGAAAGGATTTTAAATTTAGATTTTTCTGGATGATCGCGCATCAGACTTGTGAAAAATATATTTTATTATTTGGAACCGATCTTTGTTGATGTGGTACTCGTTTCGCTTCAAGAGCACAAACAATAGTGCATGCATTTAGGCGTCTCTTTCAATAAATTAAAAAAAAATTGTATTGCGTCATCAACTTTTCACGTGAATCAATATATAGTATAATTAACGATAATGTTAGTCAGCCATTTTTTAACTAATCGTTAAAATAAACCAATTCATCACGCGTAAACAATAAATTATAAGGAATATGGGTGGAAGATTAAATCGCCGATATACGAGTATGTTGGATTACATGCTTCAAGTACGATTGTCTTAATTATTTTAATTTTTTGGTGGTTTCAGGAAAATTAGATAATTTAATTGTATCACTAAAATAAATTGTTTGATATCATTGGCACACCGTTGCATTTTTCAAACTGTTGTGGTCATTTTAGTTTTAATTTTTATTGTAAATAGAACTAATTGGGTGTTAGGCATTTAAATATTTCTTGTTTATAATTGCTGTTAAATATTAAAACATCAATTTCGTATTATCAGCTTTACCTAAAAGTTGTAAGTCGATTTATTGAAAAAGTGTAAGAGTCGTAGATAAAATATCGTAAGTGATTCACACATAATGGCTGTTACTCACTCGGATGATTTACAAATTCGCTTTCGACTTGTGTTTAAACTTCATCCTCGTGAATAATAAGCTACATTATATGCTCATTACATATTATATCACTAGTCTGTCACTTAGAACTTGGTGACACAGAATAAATTAATATGTTATCCTTCGGTTCGTCGTTCCAAATGAGGCATTTTATGAAAGACCGAACAGTACATGAGCTCTAGCTTCCGAAAAAGTGGCAGCATCACTGAAATCTTGGAAATATCTCCAGCGTCATTTGAGCGGATGGAAGGTTAAAAAAAAACTCAGGTGTTTATTCAGTAGTACACTACTCCACTGAAATCTGTACTTAGTTAAATTTAATTCTGCGTTTATTTGTCTTCTTTTTCTTTACTAATTTGTACATCATTTGTCAATAGTGAATGGTTCTTTAATAAAATAACGATTACTAGTTAAATTAATAATTTATAAATGGTTTTGCGAGATTTTTCGGAGTGGCCGGTTTTTTTTTTGCCGGTCAGTGTATGTATACACAGCATGGTTGTGGGGGTTTCTAACAACAATTTGCCACAACACAGCTAAAGAGAAAAAGAGAAATCTCTAAACTCGTAGAAATGTAAAGTTTTGATTTATTCGCTACATATATTTTTAATTACCTATAGACGTAAACAAAACTATTTCAAAACTTAACTTTACCTTGTTTAAAATGCAGTAAGGCAAGTCTTAGTAGAATCACTAAAATTGATAACACGCAAAAAAATAAACTGCACGAAAACCTGTTATAACCAGCATGTTATGACTTGCATTATTTGCAACGTGGGTTTTATTAATAATAATCTAGCTGTTGACATCTACAGAAAAGTTCAATTTTGTAATTGTCTTAATTGGTTTCCTTTATATTAGTTTCCTGTGATATTTAGTTGGTGTTACTCCAAATCATACATTTATATTCCCAACGAGCCATTGTTAAACTTCTTATTTATTAGTTTTCTGAATTTAGTATCGTCCATAAAAATATTGTAGGATGCACGGTCTAAATTGGATTATTTTGCTCGTAGGATTTCTCTCGGTTCTCGGCCTCATTTCGCTTATTACCCCGTTCGCAAAATAAATTGACACGTTTAGCACACGTCTTGTAAATAACAATTTTATATCCCTTATACGCGTAAAATATAATTTTTTTATGCAAATGGAACTACGTACATGTTCAATTTTCTTTTGCAGATTTATCCTTATGCGTCGGTTCTTTGCTCTTTCCGGAACCGTCTTTTTACTCCGCTGTGTTACAATGCTCATAACATCGTTAAGCGTCCCTGGAGCTCATCTTCAGTGCACTCCACGCAACTATGCCACCCAAAGTTCTTCGGTTTTTGGTGATTTGGCCACAAAATTGTCGCAAGCTTATGTGATATGGAGAGGCGCCGGCATGTCTATCCAAGGTGTACGGACCTGTGGGGACTATATGTTTAGCGGTCATACTGTAGCTCTAACAATGTTAAATTTTTTCATTACGGAATGTAAGTTGATTGTTTTCAGTTAATAAGATCTAGTAATTGTTATTGTTTTTTGCAGATACTCCAAGACACGTTTATTACCTACACACCTTGTCATGGATGATGAACATGTTTGGCATATTTTTCATATTAGCTGCTCACGAACATTACTCGATCGACGTCTTCGTAGCGTTCTACATTACCAGTCGCTTGTTTTTATATTATCATACGTTGTCTAATAATCAAGCTCTTATGCAGAGGGATTCCACAAGGACCAAAGTTTGGTTTCCGTTATTTTCTTATTTCGAGTCGAGTGTTGATGGTATAGTACCTAACGAGTATGAAACACCAACTGAAATTATTTACAACTTGTTGAGTTTTTTTAAAAGTAAATTAAGTTTTTTAAGATACTTGCATTCTTGTTTTACTGCCAAAAGCAGTGAAGTCATAGATTCAAATCATGTGATGGATAATGTTCAAGAGAATAAAAGCAAACAGTCTTAATTTTTTAGAACGTTATTAATTTATTAATTTATTTATTATATAAATAAAAGACTTGTAATTTTATTTGTAATGGTTAATTTTTTATACTGTTTTACAAATTTATAGTTTAAAAAAGAAAAGCACATTAAAAAGTATATGTAGTTTATCAATACCAAAGTTTTTGTATTTTATGCAGAAGTATTAAACTTTAGGTTTATTCTTGTTAAATAAGACTAGTGATATAAGAAAACAAAGATTTACACAATTTGAGAAATACTGTTAGAGTAAATTTGTAACATTATCTGATTCCCAAGCCTTCCATTATTATTCCAGATAAAAATTTAAAGTGATAAAATCTAAAATATATATTTAAATTAGGTAGAATTTTTTACAGGTCACTAAATTGAGACTTAATTTACATTTTCGTTTGTTATTCTAATTTATCTACCAAAATTGATGTACTTTAGAATTTTTACTGTTTTAAACATTGAACATAAATATTACAATTATTAAAGGTTTCGGGTTAGCGTCTTTTTTTTATTTTTGAAAAATGAATACCCGAGTTTGTCCGAAAATGAAGATCGACTAATGTAAGACGTAACGTCTATGTTCAGTGTTTACTTTCAGATATTTTTGTTTTGGAACGTAGTATAATGTTTAGCTATTTGTTATTTTAAAAATATATTTTTCTATGTGCAACGACGCATTTTTACTTCTATATTTCATCACCTGTGAACAAAAATTGTTAACCGTTACTTTTTGCGAAAACAGCAACTTGTTAATCCATAATACAAAAATATCACATATTCAGTAAAAATGAATTAAGGAGTCAACACACAACTACAGGTCATTGTATTGTATGGAATATTTGACATAGTATTGATTTTTAAGTGACCACACTTTTTTTAAATTATTCCTACGTTTGTAATAAACAATTAGCAAAAACAAAATGTGCTGTATAGTATTTGAGTACATTTAGTTTTTGTGATTTTCTTCATAAGAAAACTTTTTTACCAACTTAATTGGTTTTCCGTAAAAGTTATACACGGTTCATGCTTTGTAAACCGATAAGCGTGAAATGAATTGTCGATTTATTTTTCGATATTACGATTTTATTATCTTTTTTTCAGTTCTGAAGGTCTGTTGGACTTCATTCCTTCAAGTGTATCAATTTTTTTATTTGATTATCGGTGTAATGTAAAAGAGACTTGAGAATACATCCACATATTGTTTTGTAACGCACATATGTATGATATATGTGACTAAGGCAAAAAACTTCCAAGGCACTTTTTGAGAGGTAGGTAGATTTTACAACGTCAGAAACTTCCCTTTTGGACGGGTCGACATCACTTCTTGTGTAACAGTGCTAGTATAAACAGGTTTTGAAATAAGGGTAGGCTAAATGTAGTTTGAAATTGTAGTTTCATAAAAAGAGCATTTGTTTAAAGAAGTTAACCTAGTGTAATACAGTTAATTAACGATTTCCTGATCTGAAATGTAGAGTTTCTGTGTCAACACGTGTGGTTTTTGTTGTATTGTTAGTAAATTCACAGTTGATGTCAAGATTTTTAACTCTTCATAGTTCTACGACAATTTCAACGAAGATTTTGTAAATGTTCACACAAACCACGTGCCAAGAAATTCACTTACTTAAGCTTTATTATAATCTTTCAGACTAATTCATTTATGGCATGTAAACCAATTTTAAATGTTGATCCTGTTTAAGAGAAAGGAGCTTGAAAGTTTAATTAGACAAGTAAATGTCATCATTGGCCCGGAGTATGTTGGGTTTAATTTGTGCTTGCTGTGTGATGTTGTTTGTATATTACCGTTCGACAAGCGGAATTTGAACACGCTATTGCTGCGATGCGCACCAGAACCACCATTGATATTTCTCTGCTGTGTTTATTTCATATGTGCTTTGTTTTAATGTAATTGATGCACTGATTTTGATTTAATCAATAACTCGGAGTAATGCGTAATCAAATGTTGCTTACCTCATCTTGTAAGTATTTCTACTTAGTAAAATTTGCGGTTTTTGCCATTTTCCCAAATGGATTTTTAACTGTAAACTTCACGGAGAAACCCACGTGAAACGCAGCTTGGTATAAATAGCTGGCTAGTTTGTAAAGACCTGGTAAAGAGTATAATATGTGGCAGGTTTTTTAGGCATAGAAATGTGGTGTGTGCCAACAGCTGCGGATAATCGTCAAGGAACGGTGACAGACTGCCCACTGTCACGAACTAAAATTCCGTTTAAATTCGCCGTCACAGCGCCGTAATAACTTGAGTATTTGTATCCATTTACTCTAATGACGATTTCTTTTTTTTGTGCATTGATTCGGGACATTTGATTTAATTTTGTTTGTGTCTTCCATATTTTGTGTTTGATTTAGGGGGACTTTTCCAACCTTGGAATTCACCGCTATTCATTTGACCGCATTCTGCAAATAAAAAAATACAGAACTTAGGGTTCCTTTATGTTGACGATCACAGTTTTGAGTTTTTCGCTGGTTTTAAAATTTTGTTCACATATCTAGTTTTAGCAAGATGTTTGGTCTAGCACGCCAAATATTTACATGCTTTGAAAATGATAAATATGCTGTCCACATACCTCAGCTATATCTTTAAGAAATACTGAATACTTGTCTTGCTAATCCTTTTCAAATCGATACTGTTGTCCCATTATGCTCCTGCAAAAATTGTTTGTTATAGGTACTGAAAAATATTCTGTGTCGTACATATTGTTACGAAATAAAGCCATACAACGCCTATGGGTTTTCTCGAGGGCTTTCTAGTAGGTACGGCGAAAGCCTGGAAGCGGAAGTCGCGATGGGTACTCCAGAAAAATCTCGATCGCGGAATATCTAAAAAGGAAGTACGGGTTTAAATAGAGGCCACCTTCGGGAACGAGGCACTCACTCAACCGGTCGAATCCAGTCAATATTGAGAGAATCCAGTCAAGAATAAATGAAAGTTGTTGAAAGTGGGCGAAAGTAATTAATTCAAACATGTATGAAAAATTGAAACAATTCAGAATTAAAGTTTTCACCACAGCTACAAGCCATATAACTAATATTTGTGTTACAGAACTAGACACGATACTATGTATTACATACGATCCAAAATTATGTGATACTGTAGCTGTTTTTTATGGATTACACGGTAATTCTTTTTTTCTTAAACCCAACACCCCCATATTTTACCTATAGGTAGTAATGGCAAAATGACATCAGATGATAACAGATTATTAATTAACAATTTACGCAATGATATCCGTTTTTAAGGGTATGGAAATATCTCATTTATTGTAAGACTTCATTTTTTCAGCATAAATATTCAGCATTTTACCAATAGAGTACTTAATAATAATAATAAATCACGAGGTACATAACACCTGTTGTGTTTATTATTGCGGACATCTCAAGGGACCTTTGGATGCGGGATTAATATATTTACGTAACAATGAATCATGCTTGGATTACTACGAACTAGAGCAGTGAATATAACGAGATAATACTGTAAAATTAGTTTATTATCCGCTGTAATAAATTCACGCCACACACACAAAAGGTTTTGTTTTTTAAATGTACTTACGTATTAAACGAAAGTCCTTTTGTAATTATTTCTTTATCTTTCATAGCTCGTAAAGTCATAAAATACAATAATGTCTATTTTGTTTCCCATTATCTACAGTTGGAAAAAGTATGGGTTAAATGTTAAATTGAAAACAAATAATATCATAATAATAACTTACCATTGTTAGTCGAATAGTTTGTAAAGGTCTGTATATGTTTTACAGAAGTGAAAATAAAGTTTACTCTGTGCGCATATTCAGGTATAAAATCTAACAATATCTTCGTACTAATAATGTCAATTTGATGCACTCCATGATGCGTCTTATTAAAAAAAAAACATCGGCAAAATAAAACGAAATTAATCAAATACGGTATAAAAAATTATGTCGCTGGATCATCGGATAACATTTTAATGTTCGTATATCGTGACTTATCGAAAATATAAAAAATAATGGAGTTAAATAAAAGACAAGCATGTTTTTTCTATTATATTCAAAATTCGTGATAAAAAGTGAATTTACATAAACATCAAGATGTATTAAAAACGGCGTGGAAAATAGTTTTTAAGATCAGTTTTGACAATTAGTTTTATTTTGTCTTAACAACCCAAGCAGCAGACTGTCGTCTAATTCACGTCAATTTTTGGTCATAACTCGTCGGCGACGTCATTCGCCCAAAAAATCACGTGAAAATGACGAGATTTTTATGACTTACTTCTGACGTCAATTAATGACGTCAATTAATGACGTCAAAAGGCCGTCCTTTCTTCGTCATTTTTTATAGATTATATGATCAATTAGATGTGGGTCGTCGTATTCTTTAAAAAGTGGCCTTCATAATGCTTGATTATATTTCGAGCAAAAAATACAACGGCTTAATTAGAAATAAACCGAAGACAAGTTTTTTCATTCTAATAATTTCTAATAAAATAATTATTTCTGAAAACTTGTTTACTCTGGAAGTGTTATTTTGTAAGTACCTGCTTGGCAAATTATAAATAGAACATCTGGGGTTGAGCGGAAAGACCCTACGACACAAACACAGTCATAAAAATTCTTTGACCATTGTCCCTAAAACGGGACAAGGTTTTGAAGAATTCCTTCGTCGAATTTTGATTTTATAAAGACGTTTTTAAAGTGATGACGGTTACCAAAAAAATTCGAAAGTGATTAATGTTCAGTTTTATTAAATTTATTCTTATCCGTATTTACTATACAATATATCAGATGTTTGGGGTGTGCATTCGGACTTTCTCTTTTTTCGGTATTTATGTTTATTGCACTTCACAGAGAAGCATTCCAATATTTCCACATTTCCAGTTGGTTCTCAACCACCGAAACTTTCTCGTGTATCCGTTACTCACTTCATTTTTAAGGCAGTTTTGTGTAAATTTATGTCATTCAGTGTGAGTTGTACTTATTTATAGTAGGTAAGTTAATATCTAATAAAGTAATCATTTTAATTTTTACGTGTTTCTGTTATTTTTGATAACTGTACGTAGATAACAAAAGCAGTTTTTTTCAGATAAGCTGGAAAGACCACCATTAATCACTGAAGATACTCCCACTGATTATAAAGAACTTACGGTGATTGTTTTTGAAAATGAGGCGCTATAAAATATTGCAAAGGTATGTTACTGCAATTTTTTATGAACTAATGCTAATGATAATGAACATAATTTTATTTTAGATTTGAAACAAATACAAAACACATGTGCGAAACGAAAGAAATGCTAAAGGAAATGAGTGAAAAAATCTCCAACATGGAAACGTTATCAAATCTGACAACTGAAAAAGAAAAATTATGCCGCCAAAACCATACCTAAACAAATTTTGACGAATTACAAGATTATGTTTGCATATTAGAACAAGCAGATTTTTTTGTAAGTTAAAAAAATACACTGAATTCATATATACATATATAACATTAATATTGGATATTATATACCGGTAGATGCCTGTAATACTACGATACTTTTTGGTAACTTGCTATTTACACATACACATTTCGCTTCAATGTAAAAAGTATTGACAATGAGATTTTCCTGATAGGCTGTACGTTTTTGTCAATGAAACCATTTTACGATTATCCGTTAGATTCAAGTAAATTTAGCATTTTTAAAATACAGAATTTGTCTTCTGCTTTAAGCTGTAATCCCTTAAATTTAATAATAGTCAAATGCTTGCTATTGCCCATAGATGAAAAAATGATTGCATTTCCATTAATCCATGCACTCTAAAGGGTTTTTCTTTTCAGTGCAATAAATTGAGGCAAACTTAAAAAACTTAGGTTATTGATATGATTGTTAAAACAGAATTAATTCTTAACGGTACTTTTTTGTGTGTTGGGGACAGTCAAGTCGTCGTAAATTAGATAGTTTTACATATACTGTGGTTTTACAGTGCATTTTCAATCAAGTAACTTCAACAATGCGATTCAATTGTCTTTTCCCTTTATTCTAGTTTTTTTTTTAATATTTTTTGTAAATAGATTTGTTTGTGTTTTTAAGACTCATCTATAATTTATTATAGTTTTTTTTTTTTAATATTCTTTGTAACTAAATAAATTTCTTTGTGTTTTTAAAACTGATTTTTCTTTAAATAGCAATGTTTATTTTTGATTATATATTGTACAATATCCTTTTTTTTGTTTATACCAATTATACTCGTAATTACCTGTATGTAGATTTGTTTGTGTTCTTAGGAGTGGTTTATCTTTAATTTGTTTAACTGACATATTTTTTATTTGTTTATTGAAGTTCATTGTTGGTTGTACAAAATTGTAGTAAATTTAATTTTTTTTACACTAATTTGTTTCAACTTTAATTAATATATACTTTGTTTTGGGCTTTACTTGGTGATTATAACGAATTATAATATTTTATTTAAGCTAAACACTATAAAAAAATAAAATTATTTCAGCGTTTTATTTATTGCATATTTTTTTCTAAAAATCAAAATATAAAAAAAGTCTTAAAATGGACAATAAATGCCGTCTCTGGGACGTCAGTAAATCACGTCAATAATTCGTTACAAAATGACGACTCTAAGACGTCAGTACATCACGTCAATAGTTCGTGAGAAAATGACGTCATCTAGACGAGACATTTGACCGTCATTGGTACGTCAATATCACGTGAAATCTTTGGTCACTATGACGTAAATGATGACCATTTATTCACGTGAAAAAGACGACATCATGTTGCCTGGGAAATTGATAGTATGGCGGGTCTCTGCTTACATCTTGTTTTTTCGGTTATAAACTTTTTCTTTAAGAAAATCGTAATGATTAAAGCATGCGCATCCTATTAGACAAATATTCTGTTCTAATCAAAAACATTGAGTTACCACTGTTTCAGTTTACTAAGTTTCACAGCAACTGGAAGTATTGCTGCTGCAAAAGCAATAAAGCACCCTAACAAGTAGAGAGATTTCATTAGTCGATTGCTTTCCAGGTGGTTATTAAAAAGTTTCTTCTGCCACGGAACTTCGGAAATCGTCTTCGACAAATATTTATTAAAATATGTTCGAAAAACTTTAGCGTTTCGAGAATCCTCAGTTCATAGCTGTTTTTGTGATAAATATTTCATAAAGTAGTTTATCATGAATTTTCAGAGTACATACTTATAAGATTAAATAAAGCAGCGGTTTACTGAATAATTTTTTTCAACAAAGTCATCATTTTTTATTTACTTACAAAATATCAAAATGAAGATAATATAATATTTGGTTGCCATTGTATTGTCCCGGAAATATGTGTAAACACTACTACTGCTGTTAACTTTTAACGTCAGAAATATTGAACTACTACACCATTTCTTTGCTGCCTGCCGAAAATGGTTCAATCTTTTAATTTTGAAACACATTAATTATTATGAAAATTGGATTGGTAATAGAGATCCTGTAGATAGCCAGCTCGCAGCCCAGATTTAATACCTTTAGATTTATGTTTACCTACTTTTACTTCATTCAACTTCAATTTTTTAATATTTATAAATTTTGTTTTTTATCGACTGAAGATAAAATAAACACCAAAGTCTTTTACATCATTGTAATTTTAATTTAATGCTCTACTCAGTTAAAAATATATACATTGCAATTTAAAGACAATCATGCAGATTTACATCGCGACATTGACGCCAAATATGCGTTTATATTGTACTAAATTCAGAATCCTCCTTCACGGTAAAAACAATAGCGTTTATAGCATTTCGATACCTCTACCAGTTTTCAGCATATATGTATAAGGCTGTGGTGTTTTAGCTACGACGCCCTGTAGATATTGATTTAAAATGTACCTACTGAAATATAATCATGCTTCAGCTAATTGGGCAAATCATTTACTCTCTGGCAGTTTATGATTTCTCCTTGAACTGTTTTTATTAAAAATCATGTTATATTCATTTGTTCCAGGGCACCACTGTTGGGCGACTTCATTGCGATACTGATGATTCTCTTTCTTTCCTCTGGATGCAAGCTGAACTCTAGTTGAAGCAAAACGATATGAAAATCGTACACATATAGTTATAAACTTAAAGGTAGAGACCAGTGGTCAGCTAATATGGTTAGACAAAATTATACTATAGTAGTCCAGAAGCTATAAGGTTATATGGTCATCATAAAATTATCCCATTGTGTTGAAGTTAAGTTGTTTACAATAGAAAAGGTTTTGCGGTAGTAAATAACGTGTCCACTGCAGCTCGACCGGCTGCTGCCGTTTCGTTCAGGGGCGGCTCTCATTAAATATCTAAATCCACCACTCCGTTAATCGGCTAGTACCTGCAGCTACAGAGGGTTCCGAAATAATCAGTCGCTTTGAAAGCCGACCCTGTTAAATGTGAGCAAGAAATGTTTAGAAGACGATTTATTGCCAACCGGTAAGCTTAGTGCGAACCACACAAAGGAGATATTTATTTGCGGTCAACTACTTTTATAATGATCATATAACCTTATAGCTTTTGGGCTACTTTAGATAAGTAGGTACTAAACAATATTTTGACGTAATTCAATTTTTAGAGGAAACACATATTGGTCACTCATTTGTCATATGTACGATGGTCTTAAAATATATTAAGATTTCAGTAATTTCGGAAATTGTATGAACTCAACAACAGACGATAGACAGACGGAAATGAGAAACCGTAATTTTGGTGCTTTTCAAAAATTGTAACGAATGTGACGGGCCAAAGGAATAACGACTTAAAAGTAAGAAACAAGTAAAACAATTTAAATGAAATTGTAGGTGCTAAATGAACTGTTAATATCCTTTCAGGTCTGGTTATGTGTGGTCGCTAAATAAATTCTTTTTATTTGTAGAAATCGTTGTACATGCTTATTCTTTTAGAGTGGTTGTGAAAATTCTTTTTCTTTTAATTATCAAGTACAAAGTGTGGTATACAGGTGAATTATGTGTTAACTGTTAGACTTTGACTTAAAAAAGAATATATTTTAATAAATGTGAAAAGCGTTCGACATTTACCTCTTGACAGTATGGTACATACTGGTACAAACAGTTGCCAAGCTCCTGCTTAACGTTATGTAACATTGCAGGGGAGAACACTGATTATTCGTTATCGTATATTTCTGGAACATTTTTTTAAGGTCAAAATCAGTTATTTTATATGTGGTTTGCTGATTAAAATTAATAACTGAAGCTCTGAGAGGAAGAGATTTGTTTTCTTTTTATTTTGAGGCTAGTTTTTCTCTGTCGATACTATTGCGACATTGATTATATTCAATTCATATTTTTTTTATCTGCACGATTTATATCTGTATATCTGATGTCTAAACTTAAATTTTACACAACGTTGTTATCAGTGCATTTATGCTTTATTGCTTTTATTTGTGCCGATTTTATTCTTTTATAACATCTTTTTTTTAACGGTATGAATGTGATCATAAAACCTGTGATTAACGCAAAAAGTTGTTGCAATAAGTGCAAATATACTTAAGGTGCTTTTCGAAATGCTCTCGTAACGAACTTCAGAATTGTCGTACGTGTTTTTATTCACTTTAATCCATTTTTAATCATTTGAAATTGCTAACGTAGATAATAAACATTCTTGTTATCGCGATAAAAAAATGTGTTTTTATTGGTCACTTGTTTTGAAGTAACGAATCAAGGTCATCGTTGTCACATTTGCGTCCATCAACAACAACAAACTGTGGGCGAACAAATTCCCTAGTATTTACAGATTAACTTCCAACTAATCTCCGCGATAAAAGCGAAAAAATTAATATCGACAAATGCAAGCACAATACAACGAAGCCGTAATTAGAATACAAAGTGGATTACGACCGTTTAAGCCCCCAGATGCTGCCGTATCAGAGCCCTGTTTATTGATAATGTTGGCAGATTGTCACTCTTGAAATGTCATAACTACGAACTTCACACATGTGTCAAGTTATCAGCGTAGTTATTTATGGAAAAGTATATAATATTCAATGCGATGTTTCGTATTTAACGAATGACCCTTCTAATCAGTCCTTGATCTTTCTGTGCTTGATAACGACATCTCGTGTAGTTACTCGTGTGCGTCGTTGTCCTCAACCATCCGCAATATTGTACCTATATTTACGAAAGATGCACGCAATTCAGCCTTTGGAAACCCAAGTGAAACGCGAACGCGAAGCCATACATTCTGGTCAGTTTATGGTCTCAACATTCGAGGCCGAAGAGCAAGATGACGAAGATGAAGTTGCAGTGCCCATACCTGAAGAGTCTGAAGACAACAGCAGCATTGTTCCAGTTAAGCAGTTCATAAATCAAGATTTCAACAACAGGAATCAACAGCAGCAGCTTTCGATAGACACCAGTTTAGCCAAACTCTTCCAATGCATGTCTTTGGCCTACAGGTCAGTGTTTGCTGTAATCGGAGATCAAATTCTGAAAATATTTTTATTTACAGACAGAAGTTGACATCACCTAAGTGGAATCGTTTTCGCGGGATAAGGCTGAGGTGGAAGGATAAAATAAGGCTGAATAATGTAATTTGGCGGTGTTGGCATCTGCAGTGTAGGTCATTTTTTGTGTGATAGTTTTTGTGCTAAGTGTAGTTGTTGTTGCAGTTATTAAAAAAGAAAATACGTTGATTTGTCAATTTGCGTCGCCGCTGGATGTAGATACGCACAACAAGCCTGAGGTAAATATAGGGATTTTCTTTTGCTAATTAGTAAATATTGCAAATAAGAGTTATATCACAATCTATTGTTAACCACATTTATCTTGTTTGGATTTGTATAACCGCTATCTAACAAACAATTTGGAAAGGTGGAGCGTTTGATAATAACACTTGGTGCTAATGTAGGTGTGGGACAAGGTTAAATTTGTTTTGGATAAGTTTTGCAATGCATTTTTTAATTAAATTTTGCATAATAAAATGATAACTGTAATGAGAGATATAAATACTGATATCTGTATTTAAGATTAGTTCATTTATACACTTGACAACATTCTTGTCTTACATAAAATTTTGGTCAATAATAATTACAAAAATGGGAACAACAATAAAATTGATGACCATCAGCTGTTTGACAGGAAAAATAAATTATTTCAATTAGTACAGTGTGAAAGTGATCATATACAACTGTATTCGCATAATTACGAAAATTAGATCAGATACAGGCTGCATCTACAATAAGAAATATTCAGTAATTTTTGAGGTGACGTCATCATTTTGCTGAAGGAGATGGAAATTAAATTTTAATGAATGTTACATAATTTATACATTCATGTTTATGTTTTATTAAAATATCACAGAAATCTGTTACGTAATATCCGAGATAAACTGTAGAACCAGATAAAAGAACATGTTACAGAGTACTTAGAAGTGAGATTTACTCAACACTATGATGATGGTATAATCAATTTCGTGGAAAAGAGGACTGAGATTTACCTAGTTACCGATTTAGCAGTTTCATGATAATCAAGAGCACCTAAATTTTCAAAATAATCCTTTTAGTAGTCCGGAGATTATCTGGCGAAATCGCTAATAAAGCCAAGATAAACGAAACAAGCGGAAGCAGGAAACTTCAAATTTCGCATTTTGTAAACTGTGAAATGGTAAAAAAAAAAAATAATTAGACATTTTTGAAGTGAATTTCATCACAAAATTATTTTAGTTGTTGAGAAAAGTACGTCTCTATGTTGCAAATACATAGCACAGTATTCACTGTAATGAACACGGATCAAAATGATTATACGGAAATAATGTTTGACCTTATTTGGTGAATTGAGCTAATTAGAGAAGCCTAAAATAAAATTGCGGCTTATTAATTGTAACGTTAATAGAATGTTCTATTTAATGCTATACAGATCGATTAGAAATATGTACACATTGACACTATATTTCCATTGATGAACTGTTTATTTCCCATAATTTCCATTCTTTGATACTTTGAGAATGTGACAAATATGTTGATATTACATTCAAACGACAAATAAAAGCATTAGTAGACTGTTTTTGTGTTTAATTATCGCGACCATCACACAGTAAATTTCCGATATAGGTATTTGCATTTAGTGTTGCATTTCATGCTTAAAAGTACATACTATATTAGGTTTTGTACATACTAAACACAAGTTTGCTATGAGCTTCTCTTATATCATACAAGTAATCTCCGAAAATACCAAACCGATTACTTTCGGATTTTCGGTATTAATTCCCTCTAAAAAACCGATGTCGCGTCGCTCAGAGTTTTGTGAAGTAGAATAATTATCACGTGAAATGTACAGCATGTTATGCCCTTTTAGCTGTAGTTTGGTAATCCATTTGCATTTTTAACTTTTCACATAGAGGTGGTCATAAAAGGAGAAAATTTCTGCAAATAAATTCTTCGTCCCTTCTATATATTTTTTTAATTTAGTTATTAAATTACAAAACATTAACTAAGATTAGTGCATTAATTTCCTTCAGAGAATTGATTGCATAAACGGCTTACGTAGTAACATGTTGATCACTTGATAAGTGTTAAATTGTGTAGATCAAAAACTTGATGACGTTCCCTGAAAAATAATTTATACGAATATTATATCGAGAGAGCAATAAAAAACACTTTTTTTTGTATGAAAACCACTTTAATCGGGATGGTTCTTATGATAATCACTTCAGCCATTTTTAACTTTGAACCCTTTATCTGTGGCACCATCACCATAGCTCCCAAACGGATGAACCGATTTCAATTTTTTTTTTTCGTTGAAAGCTGGTTTAATCGGGATGGTTCTTAGCTATGTTTGAAGATAATCACATCAGCTGTTTCGAGACTTTAAAATTTTTTTGTCGGGGCTTTTTAAGTATTAACACTTGTTAATCAAGTTCGAAATCCGCTACTTAGTCACGAAGCGTTTTATGTTTGAGCGAGATATCGGTTACATGAAACACAGGGAAAATAGATATTAGACTAAAAAAATGTTTGTAAAGCAATTTTGTGACAAAGTTCAAGGCGGATTCATCAACTACAAGCACATGAGTATATTATTTTATAAAATTTGCACAACCTTTACTAGGTAAAATAATGAGGGTATGTCATTAAATTAGTATTCCCTTCGATATGATGTCTCAAAATATATAAGAATCAAATCAATTTAGGTATTGTATTAATCATTTAATTTTCTTTAAATTTTGGGAAACCATTAACGAAGCCATTAAATTTGTGCTTATTACCTAATTATGATTATCATTGTTAGTTTATTTATATAAAAAAAAATCTTTTTACTTACACCACTATTTTAACAACTTAACCAGCCAATTGCTTTTTTTTAAAAGCTAATAAAAATCATAACCTTTCTGATGTTTTATTGTGTTCATGGCCAGATACTGTGTAAGTTGATCTTTCTATGATTGCTAACAATTCTATAAACACAAATTCTTAAGAATTTCACATTTTTTTATGTTAAAGCAGACCACACTGTAACATTCTTACAACAGTTATATTTTAAAATTACGCATTTGCTGTTCTGTCATGCACTTCCAAACTGAATTTGTTTAGGTAGAATCTTTGTCGTGGTACTATCAATGTTTTATAGAAATATGGAATGGTACTGTTCCTGTTACATTGCATATGTTAAGAATTTTACATTAATTTGTCCCCACCAAAAACTTGTTAACGTTACTGTAAAAAATTATTAAAAACCTTTCTTGATGTGCTGTACTTTGCCTGTTTTAAAAGTGAAGGAAATTCTGAGAATAACTTTTACAGCTTTACAGATTTTTGTAAGCACGATGATAAATATGCAATAATTGATTTTTTTAAATTTTGTTTTTATATTTACTGACAAAATGATATCAAATTAATGTAAGGCATTGCTGTGTAAAAAAAATAAATAGGGCACTTTTACAGTGCAAATTGTACTATGCCAACCAATAAATTGCGGATACTAGTTACATGTCACGTCAAAATTGAAGCTTTATTGTTATTAAGCGGGAATAATACATGTTTTTATTGCAGTAACATTAATAAGTAAAGCACACTAAGCAAAATAATGACCAATTTTTATTATTGTTATTCGTTATTTTTAGAATGCTTGACTTGTTTTGTGTGCTGATTTTTACTACAATATGCATTTTTATGATTTTTTTTTATAAAACTATCATCGACGTTAGTGAATGTGGTAATGCAAAATTGACATACATTTGTTGTAGAATATGTATCGTCATACATCTTATTTGTTTTTATTTTCATCATTGTAAGTTAGTCTGGTTGAATTGTTGTCATTCGTTATACCGCATCTAAGGAAAATACTGAAATAATCATTTTGACGAATGTTTAGTTTAAAAATTTTTTCTTTTCACAGACTGTAAAATACGATAACGTAGATTTTTCATTTCGTCTACATGTCTATCGTTCCCTCTCGACGGGTTTGTTCGACATATCCAAGGACGTTGATATATCTCTCAAGTACCGAACTAATCAGTTTGAATTTTCAAATGTATTTTATATTACAACAAAAACAGGATATCGTTAATCGGCTTTTTCTTACTATACTTACTTTTACTTTACTATAATCCTCTCGAAAACCATTTTTAATTCTTGGCGTTCTCTGAGAATGATACCAAGAAAAAAATAATAAAACGTAATTTTCTTAATATTAAAATAATTAAATTAATTTCCTGAAAAACCTTAACTGAACCTCAGTTGAAATGGCACTGTGACATGTTGTTTTATTTATATGTTTAACTTTCTTTGTAATATGACTCAATCCTTCAAAATTAGACGCTAGTATGGTTTTAAGGTATACGGAACATTAACTAAAAGTATTTATTCAACATCCTTTCTCAAATATTGATGACATCACAAAAACTTAATACCGATGAAATTCAGAGACTACATACACATACCTACGTACATCGTACACATTAATTTACATGTTAAAAAATAAGGGACAAATTCAGCGGTTTAAATCGATGTTGATGTGTGAAGGTGATAAATCATCCAGATTGTGGTTTCTCGGTATTTGACACAAAAATTTAATGTATTGTTTTATATTATTTTTGCAAACTTGAACGATAAGCTACTAAGTTCAGGACTTATGGTTTTTCCACCATATCTTATTCTATTTGTTCAGCGTCTTCTTTTAATGTTGTACTTTGTTGGATCCACATTATCTATATAACTGGTTGAAATATAATTGCAGTATTATTTTCAAGTTTAACACACATTTTGCATGACATCATAACAGTTAGATGCCCCCTAACACACCATCAATTTATTTAGTTTGAATGTATTATTTCTTTGTTTCTAGTAATTTCACTGAGGCAAAGATTTCAAATTAATGTGATACTATTTGTTTATATAGAAACCGCTGAATAATTATTTTCAGGCGGTGGTGCTGGAAGGCAAATACTGGAAGAGAAAATTAGCCGCAGTAACAGCAGAATACAAAAAATGGCGTATGTTTTACAGAAATCACGCCCTTGGTCAGTCGGTCAAGGACGATGTAGAAATGGTAATATTTTAATATACATGATTTCTGCAAAATTTATCTTGTTATTCATAGTTAAGCGATGTAGACTTATTAACGTGGAATTCCCAAAGTTCCGAAAACATGCACATGATGGTCGACGAAGATTACATGGGACTGATGAGCGATACACTATTTTCTACCATCACAAATCAACCTTTCGTTTTTCCGGATTCGAGAGAAATAGGTAGTATTTGCTAAGATTTTGGGTTCAATCAATTTTAGCAGTTTGTTTCTGTGTATGTAGCAAAAGCCGGGCTTGCCGATTTTATCCAACCGAGCTTGGGACCTCTCCAGCCTAATTTGGATGATTACATGGACACTTTTGAACCTCTTCAAGGTCTATATTTAGTGCTCGTATTTTTATTGTTATTGAAAGTGTCTCTTTATCACAGAATTTATGACATGTAAACTCCCAACTGTTCCGGAAGAACAGGCGCAAAATGCGGCCTGGAATTACTCCGAGTTGGATTTGATATCTTCTGGATCAAATCTACAAGTGATTTAGTGAAATATTTGTAAATGTTTTTGTTATCATTAAAAAATTTTAGGTTAACGCCCTCCAGAACGCAACACCTGTAGTTAGTCAGTACCAACAGGCTATGAATTTGCAACAGATGCCTTTAGAAAAGATAGAAAATCGATCATCCTCGGAACAAAATCTGTATAACAGCATGATGCAACCGGCCGTCAATCAATTCGTACCTCAACAAGTGCAACCGCCATCGTACCATTCTTCTGTGATCTCAAAGAATGCCAAAAGCCATAAAAACGTTTCTCCAACTCACGTCAAAATTAATCAAGCTAGCGTGTATACCAAGTCACCAAGTATCTACTCTAGCTACTCAGAACAAAATATGCAGAATACCATGTGTCTGAACGAGCGGATACAAAGTGAGTAGGAACAGTATTATATTGCATGTAAATATGTATGTGGAAACACGATTGGGTTATTTTGAAAGTTCGCTGTTTTTGATATGCAGAAAAATTTAATTTATTCTAAGACCTGGTTACTTATTTTCAAACCGCAAAATGCCATGAATTGCGTTAAACTTAGTTTTGAACTATTTGTTCTTTTAAAACATTTTTGTAGGTCTATTTTTTGTTATAGTGTTAAAAAAACAGCTCAAGACATGCTGTGATCACAAATAAATGACATCAAGTAGAAACTAGATGTTCACTGGTTTCGTTCAACGTACTGTTTAACTTGTACTATACTCTCACTTATATCTTAATGTGCAAGAATTCCGTATCTAGTAAGTTAGAGCAAAAACTTCGTTTCAGGGGTTGCTAGGAGATTGTTTAACTTAAGTAAGAAGTAATATTTCTCCTTCCATGCTCTTAAACGATTGGACAGTAAGGATGTGGTAAATGAAATAGATATATGTCGCTGTCTTTTATTTCGTCCATATATTTTGGGAATTTTTTTGACAGGAAATGTCGTTATCGTAGTAATTGTGTCCTACGAACGCCGCAAAAATTACTTTATCATTCTTACTTTGATACATTAGTTAGATTTTTCTCTATTATTCGTGCATAAGGGGAATTCCACACACCTTGAAAATTTACTATCTATATTTAGTGACCTTAGAGTGTCTCGACTCTCGCAGAAGGCGCTTTGTGCACCGACCCGGTTATGATAATCATTCCTTGTATCTATGAAACTAGTTTTGAATTTCCCATTCTGAACTCGACCTCGCTAGGAGAACATGGCACGATTTGCACGTATTACTCAAAAATTCTGCCGTATAACTTTTTTATGGAACAGTAAAAATTACAAAATGTAAATGTTTGTGAGCAACAAATTTAAATAAGTAATGTGTTTATTTATACAAACAAATATTTGTTTTTTTACTACGTTTCAAGAAAGACATTCGACGTTCTTTGTGTTGCTAGGTTAAAAAATACAATTCAGAATGTTTTTTCCCAGAACTTACCGCACATTTGAAACATCATTAAAAAGATATTTTTTTAAACTTGAGTATGTTTAATAGATAAAAACAAGAGTACTGAAATGTAAGATAATTCACCAATTTATTCAAGATATTTTTGTTGATAAAATTTATATCATACGTAGTACGTAGGGTACTTTAATTCAATTCCACTACCAAATTACTGTAAAAATATCCGCACAGGAAATAACCATGATGATAAATTATCTACAAAAGATAAACTTGGGAGCACAAAAAACTGATTATAAGTGGAAACCAAAACTACTTTTATTTTCAAGAATTATTTTATAAACCGTTTTGTGGAACACAAATGACTGCTTAACCTGATTCGTATACATAATTGCAATTGTGGCAGAGGTTGTTCTTTTTTAAGTCGAATTTATTGAAGAATTTTGTTATGTAAATTTCGTGTTATCGCTGCATTAAGAAACAATAACGAAATTTAAATCTTTTGACTGTGTCAATTATCTTGTATGGTTCAAAATACTTTAATACCTAAATGGCTTTGATACGCATGTAATATTTGACATCACCGATGTAGTTCTGGAAATTGATGTTTCATAAAACTGCTCTTCACAATCTTATCTCGTATGGCACGTGTAATAGACAGTACATATATTTTTGAGTATGAAAAATAATCGCATTGCAGATTTATCAGGAAAATTTAAACGTAACAATGTACCTAACATACCCTTACGTTACAACGGATATGAAAAAACACGTTGAAAGTATCCGTCTGCTGATTAGCCAGTCTTGGAGTGATTTCTAAAAAAAATCACAACACAAATTAACATAATGCCTTCACATGAAAAGTTAGTAAGGTTTGGTAACATTATTAATTTTCATCATTCAGTTTATTCCGTAAAGTTATTTTGAGTTTGGGGTAAGAATTTTTTTGTTATTTAAAAATGAAAGCAGCTAGAGTTTTAATAAAGTTTTATTAAGTAATGTCAAATAAATTTACACATAAATTGGCAATCATTCTAAAAAGAGCAATCCTTACTAAATAAATAAATATTTATTTAGTAAAGATTAAAATTTATATGCTTGAATAGATGAATTTTCAACTGCAGTGCCTCTACAAGAACATATCCAACAACAACAATTACAACAGCAGCAGCAGCAACAAATTGTCTCACAACAGCAGCAACAAATAGTATCCCAGCAGCAACAACAACAAATGGTTTCTCAGCAGCAAACGCAAATAGTTTCTTCTCAACAACAATTGGTTACACAACAACAGGATTTGCAACAGTTTAAGCTAACCCATCAGTCACCGGATCAAAGACCATCTGCTGGTTATAAATTTACAACTCCAGCGGTTCCCAACATTAAGTTCACATCACAGGTACCCCGTATGATGCATCCCATACACTCTGCACATTCTCAGTACAACACTAGCCATTCTTTTCCTGTAAGTTTTACTCTTTCTTTTATGATTTTCTTTTCATGTAGTACTAACAACCTTTGATAGTTTTTATTTGAGTTGATGATGGTTAAATATGATAATTAACTCTTTAACAGAAAGAAGAAAAACCGGAAGTACGAATGAGAGGTGCACATCGAGGGAGGCAAAGATCAAGGTCGAACACAAGAGAGCCAATTCGGCGTCCACCTTTGATTTCTGCAGTTAGTGATCCATCGTTGCTAACGCAGTTATTAACCGGCAGTAAGTATCAAGTCCATACTATCTATTAACATTTTTGAAGACTTTGCGTTACAACTGAAATTGGATGTGCTGTAGGTGGTGATAACGAAAGTGGATATAGTCGTAGTCAAGCACTAATTTCAGCACATGATCAAATTTCAAAACAAGTTCGAATAAAGGAAGAAAGTAGTCCTATACCAATTTTACCACAGCCTCCACCTGCCCCTACAACTTTAATAATCACAACACCCGTTACTATCAACGCTATACAATCATCCCCTAGCGATCCAGTAAGTGTTGTTTGTTTGCTAATACTTGCTTAACTTTTTTTTTGTAGTTATTATTAAATTCATTTAGTAGTTCAAACAGTCCTGTGTTAGACGGTTCACAAAGTGTTAACTCACCTACCTCATCACAAGGCTCAATGGGGTCACCCAATAGAGATAACCCGCACAGGGATCAGAGAAGGGTGGGTCATATTCATGCCGAACAAAAAAGACGTTATAATATTAAGAATGGTTTTGATATGATACACTCGTTGATACCACATCTAAATCAGAATCCTAATGCTAAGGTAATAACACGTTAACTCTATGCTAGATGGTTTAAGCTTGTTTCGTACTTTAGTTAAGTAAGGCTGCAATGCTGCAGAAAGGTGCAGAATATATACGACAGCTCAGATCTGAACGAAATCAGTTGAATGAAGAAATGGAATGCCTAAGGCAGCAAATAGAAACGCTTAACACATCAATAAGGTATGTGATAGAAGTAAGTATAACGTTTTGATTCATTTTTAAAATTCTAGCAATTGCCAATCAATGTTACCTGCAACTGGAGCCCCCGTTTCACGGCGAAGAGACAGTAAAATGCAAGAAATGTTTGACGACTACGTAAGAAAGCGAACAATGGAGAATTGGAAATACTGGATTGTATCCTTCATTTCACAGTAAAATATGGTTTAAAAAAGTGTATTAATTTTTTATGTAGTGTTGTACTTATTTATTAGTAAGTACTGTCAACAAATTTCTAGTCTTTTAATCGCAGTCCATTTTCTTAACACTGTTTCACAGTTCAGTTTGTTGTTCCGGCCTCTTTTAGATTCGTTCAACAATTTTGTATCTACGTCGAGCTTAGATGATCTCTATAGGTCGACTATACTATGGATTGAACAACACTGTACATTGGTGGACCTCCGCCCAGGTATGGATACTATTTTTTTATTTCTTGTTTTTTTATGTTATATTTTCTAGTGGTTCTTAATTCTTTGAAGTACCTGAGCACCAAAACAGAGATCTTGACGGAACCTGAGAAACTACCGGATGAAGTAAGACAGATGGTTTTGTCAAAGAATCCACAGTAGGTTAGAGGCAAATTGCAACTAAATATTTGCTCACAAACTTTCATTATCGTGATAACAGTGCAAATGTTTTAATTCTAAATGACGAATATTTTCTTTAAGAAAGAAATGTTCTATTTTCGTGTAATACTTGTGAAGCAAGAAAAGCGTACTGAAAAACGTATTTGTGCATTTTGACGTTGCTTTCATATTTTAAATATATGAAAACGTGCTTAGAAAATGGTTTAGTGTCTTCCGGTTTTTTCCTAGTTTTAGTTACAAAGTTTGTTGTAAACCAGTAAAATATGACGGCAACGTTTTGTGGTTTTAGCAAGAAATGTGAGTGGTTGATTGCTTGTTTATATTTATTTTGTAAAATTTATCGTCATTGAAGAAAACGGTGCAATGCAAGATGCTGCCTTAGAAGTGTTTCCGACACTTGAACTCATACTGTATCTATACAATCTAAATTTTGTATGACTAATCACATAGTACAAGTTATCATTATGTGTTTTAACGACTTTAATTATACTGTGCCTTACAAGTCAGAACGTGATACTTTTTTATTTTAAAACTACTGTTTAAGTTTTTATTAGGGTACTTACCGTTGTAAATCTTGTTATCTGTTTATGAGTTTATGTATATTTTTGTGTAAGTGAGTTATTTTGAGTCATTAAATGCAAATTGTTTTGTTCATTGTCCTATTGTATTTTTCAAAAACCTAATGAAAAATATGACAAACTATATACTCATATACCTAGACATGTTTGAGGTTTTCTTTCAATATAAATTGTATGTATCTGTGTAACATTTTAAAACATTCAGAAAGAATTCTAAAGTGTAGTGCAAATCTCGTTATTTTGAAAGCATGGACGAAAATATTTTAAAATTTCTGTACAGAAAACTCGTGAAGCTTAAAAATAGTTTGAATTTAGTGTCAAATGAACTACTTTTACGAAAATGCTGAAATTTATCGTAAATTTCAAATGTAGACCTTTTTAAGTGTAAGCACAAAATATATTGATTGACATCTCGGAACAGCTGCACCACACGATTTCGTTATAGAATTCCATAGTAGATCAGTTTTAACTTGATACGCCACTGAATTATCAACAGCATACAAAACGTGACCCTTTTAAACCCCTTGATGCGGCGCCACTGGGTTGCCATGTTGTTTATGTTGTTTTTTGACATTTAAAATTTTGAAGTCATACCCAACAGTTAAAATTTTGTTTAAATTTTAAAATTGTATTGATGTTTCACAACAACAATGACAGATCAGTTTCAGCGTGAAATTTCACTGCAGTGTCTAAAAATAGGGCTTTGGAATTTGACCCCTTTTAATTTCCTTGACGCAACGCCACTGGATATCCACATTGTGCTAGATTGCATGTTTTTTGACACTTGAAGTTTTGAGGTTATATACAACAGCTACAAAATTTGTTTACATTAGAAATGAGTGCAATAAATTATTCAAATGTCTGTAGAACCTGCTTATCCGAGAGCATAAACATTAAATCTGTTTTTACTATAGAACAAGCGATGGACCTTGAAATGGCTTTATGTGATATGTTGATGGAATGTGCATCAGTTACAGTAAGAAAATAATTTCTAATTTCAATTAAAACTTACAATTCTAACAATCTGTTTTACGTGTAGGTAATTAAAGATGACGGGTTGCCGTCAAATATTTGCATGAGATGCATTAGTAAACTTCAGAAGGCATTTTCGTTTAAGAGGATGTGTGAAAATTCAGATCATACTTTAAGAAATTGCACTGATCAAGTAACGCAAATGATTTCACAGGAAGATATTAACTATGAAATTAAAGATGTTAAACCAAATGTTAACGTATATGAGGATAGTACCATGGTGATGGGGGAAAATCATTTAAGCGACTGGGGTGAGGACAACGTAAGTGAACCATGTGATGATGCCAGTTCTATTAAAAGTAATGAAGAAAATTTTGAAAAGAACTGCACGGAGGTTAGTAATAGGTTAAGAAAAAAATAATCAAAACCACTTATGATTGCATGTATATTTACAAAATTAATTATTTTTTATACTAAAATTTGAAAGTAAGTGTAAATTAGATATAAATACAAAAAACGAATCTATTTATGTGTTGGTTAGTATGTACAGGTGACTGCTATTGACCCTTTATAAACGGGATTTGTTAACTTAACTCTAAATACGACTATGACCATGAAAATTACTGCTAACGAAACTCACCTGGAATCAGGGAATGATTTATTTTTTACCTCAGTTTAGACTGTAGACTTTATGTCTAACACAATAATTTTGTATAACAGTGGAATTTGTACGATTCAAGTGAGCTTGTGAAGTAACTAAATCAAGGATTAATTTAAATAAAGTGAAATAATGTGTAATAACAACAGTTACCTTTAGAATTGCATCACTCATTGTCATTGTAAATGGTTGACAGGTGCCTAGTATATTTTTTAAATTATATGATTTAATGAGTTTCTTGGTATTTCTGTACAAGTTATTTTTTTATATTTTAGGAGAAAATAAAAGAGTCAAACATTCAGGAAAATGTTAGAAGAAAGAAATCATATAAATGTGAAGAATGTAGACAAGAATGTCTGGGACTAGCTGCATATTGGAAACATATGGCCAGTGTTCACGGAAAAAATTTGAAATGTGATATTTGTAGCAGAGAGTAAGTATTTAGGGAAGGTAAAAGTAGTCACTATTTTTCACCTTAAAAAATTGCGTCTTACTACCACTAGACCACTACTCACACAGGTTCTCGTTTGTCATAATCGTGCGCGTTTGTTAGCGTTCATGCGGACGCGGTTTCTATTTTTAAAATTTCTCAAAGTGCGCTGTAGTTCATTGCGCATTATCACTGTTGTTGTGAAAACGTAAACAGGCATATGCGAAAACGTAAACGTAGATAGCGAAAAAATGTTTAATGTTTAATGAGGTGATGAAACGAAGGGCGAAGAGTGCTTCAGCAGCTTCATTTGGTTTGGGTCGTTTTTTTTTCTTTTTAATATATGGAAGTCAAAATTACAGGAGCTAACCATGGTATTAATTTAACTGATAATTTTCAAAGTCCTTTCTGGTCAACGTTTAAGATTAGTTTAAATGCCACAAATGAACTATTATAAAACTGGACTCCGAAGTGATGAAGTTGAATTATGTAAAAAAAAACATTCACACTTTAGAATGTTTTAGAATGAACATTTTCGTTAATAAAAGGAGTTAAACCTGAATAAGTTAATTCCACCACGTGTTTTATATGAACATTTACATTTATTGTTGTTAAATTATGACCACTTAGTATAAACTGTGAATTTACAAACAATAAAACGAAAATAACAATGCGTTGATGAATTCGTTGAAGTTTCACAATATGCCAGATTAGAGGATCATTAATTAACGGGTCTTACACCAATTACGCTCGTTGGAGGGAGACCGTGGCGTCGAATGCGATTTAGAATTGAGACAGGGTGGGTGGGCGGGGCTTATATTTTGCCTTTTTTTAAATATATAAAGCCATTTTTTTCATAACAAGAAACTTAAAACATGGCTAAAATGGTACATTTTTGCAAGGAAATATGGATTTTGCAATTATGGGGCGAAGCCTAATTGCAAAATCGATATTTCCTTATACAAATTTTTCATTTTATTTCATCTTGTGAAAAGAAGTCTACACATATTAAAACAAAAAGGCACATTATTGTACATTAAGGAAAAAATGCAAAATATAGACCCCGCCCACCCACCCCATCTCAATTGTGATGATATCGTTTTATTCTTAGAAACTTAAAAGACGGTTAAAATGGTAAATTTTTGTAAGGAAAGATGTATTTTGCAGTTAAGCTGGTTCACGGCGCATAAAAAAAATCTTCACAATTGAGATAGGGCGGGTGGGCGGGCTGACGTTTTGTCTTTGTTTCTTAATATGTGTGCACTTATTTCGTCAACAAGAAACTTAAAACAACTCCCCTTTGGTAGAATTACAAACTAAATTACATGTACCTTTAATTTTAATAAGTGTTTTCACTGTATTCACTAAATAAGAATTAACTAGGTCAAAGTGATCTTCAAATTTTTTTATCTAGTATACATTCCAATATCCTAATTAACAACCTAAAGGGCGATATTTGCTAATTCCCTAAACGCTTTAGAATATGGGTGATTGCCTACGTTATTAAATCACAGAAGATTAACAAAGTTTGAACAAGAAGCGTCATTGTCACCAAATGAAGAAAACGTGTTCTAGTGCGCAGGTTCACCAAAGTGTAAAGACAGTGTGTTTAGTAAAATTATATCGCACTGTTCTATCTTTGTTTATTGTAGATGTACATCGCATTTCTTAAAAGAGACGTTTGTCGTCACTTATTTCATACACACATTTTCACTGTTCTAACCGTTCTAACCATGCCATGTTAAAAACCATCGTTTCTAAATTTTGATCAAATAATTATAACAAATGCAACTTTAGCTTCTTAAGGTAAAATTAGTGTATTTTTTTTAATGAAATTGTATTTGAAAATTTTCTTTGTAGAACAAGTAAAAACATATACTTAATAAAATTTTCGTGAAATATGTATACCTACATATATGACCATTTTAATTTTTATTAATCTTTCTTTAAATTCTCTTAATAAACGTCCTGCGCTCCCGGGAGTGGAATTTATGGACAGATATCTATTAGTTTAGACTATTTTTATTGTAATCGAGTCCGTCGGCCGACTCTCAACCTTTACGTTTTCTCAACTTTTCATGACCCCTAGAGTACGAAGAAGAAGTAGGTCTCCCGTTTCCGTCTGTATGTCTGCCGTCCCAGTTTTTATTAGACAGATAATCTCCGAAAGTATTGGCCGATTGTTGTCAAATTTTGTATTTATATTAGGAATATCCTGTAAATGATAAAACGCTAAACAGAATTTGTACGTAGTAAATGGGTTTTAATTTGTATAAAACAACATAATCCTACACATGTAGTTTATGACTCCGTGTTGAGTTTTTACCCGAAACGAGCAGATTTTTGAAAAAAAAAAAAATCAAAACTATAAAACAACATTTTGCAATTTAATTTTGCATAAGCATGGTAAATTTTTGTACAAATTGTATCTATTTATCAACCCTCAAAAATTGATGACGTCATCTCAAAATTTTGCCGAATATATCCTGTCTAAAATGTGCAAACTATGATTAGTCTATACTGTAATTTATCATTGCATTGATCTTTTTTAGATTTGCTTATGCAAGGGGACTCAAAAAAATTAAGAATCAGTCAATTTATTTTATGAAATAAATCAAGAATTGCAAAACTGAATACTTTGAAATCTTGCAGACGTTTTAAAGTTATTGTAAGCATGGTAAATTGTTAATCAAAATGTGTGTTTATTGCACCCAAAAAATTGATGACGTCATCTCAAAATTTTGCCGAATAAAGTCTACCCAAAATGTACAAAATATGATGAGTTTTTACTTGTGATTTATCAATTGCATTAATATTTTTTAGATTTTGTTATACAGGTGGCTCAAAAAAATTAACGAATGAGTCAATTTAGTTTATAGATTAAATCAAGAACGGCTCACTCCATTTTCCCAGAAACTTTTTGGAATAGAATACTATTATTTTTAGTATTACACTGCACCAATGTTGATGTCGTCATCAGAAAATTGTGTTAAGGAAAGACGCAACTAGAATATCCTGGATATGTTTCATTGTACTTCATGAACGAGGAAAGTTCTATGGAAATAGTTTTCGACCAATTTTTAGTTCCTATGCGTAAGCTTAGGAAGTATAATAATTGAGTCCATCGGGCGACTTGCCACTTTCATGTGTTTTGTAGACGTTTCATGACTGTAAAACGCTAATCAAATTTAGCCAATCATCCATTGAGATGGCGTCATGTCCAAAATTTACTTAAATTTGTTTTTAATAAAAATAACCTTTGACCAATTTTTTTGAGCATTTACATTTAAATTTAAAAGGATTATTACAGTACAATACAATAATTCTTTAATGCAATTTTTGTTGTAGATTTAAAACGCAAAACTTACTAAAACAGCACAAAACTGCACACCAAAAAAGCAACGAAGTAGACATAAAGCGAACAAGAAATAAGACTGGAATTACGAAAAAACGCAACTTGCCTCGAACTTGCGATATATGCAACAAAACATTTAGGTTTCACAGTAACTTGGAGAGACATAAATTAATACACACTGGAGAAAAGCCTTTCCTGTGTAATGTTTGTGGAAAGGGGTTTGGACAGATGTCTTATCTCAAAATACACTCCTTTATACATACAGGTCTGTAAGAGATACTCTGTAATATGTATGTTTTTATATTATCCAAGATTGCAGGTGAAAAACCCTACAAGTGCCAAATGTGTGATAAAAGTTTCGCCGCTCCTGGTACCCTCATGACCCACGTAAGGATACACACAGGTGAAAGACCTCACGTGTGTAAAATATGCGGTAAAGATTTTCCGCAGTCTGGATATCTGTCAGCACACATACGTACTCACACAGGTGAAAAACCTATTGAGTGCAAAGTTTGCCATAGGCGGTTTAATCAAAGCGGAAGACTAGTGGTGCATATGAGGATACACAGTGGTGAAAAACCATACTCGTGTAAAGAGTGTGGAAGATGTTTCGCCGTTAGAGGAACTTTGAAGAAACATATAAGAACTCATACAGGTGAAAGGCCATACGTGTGCAGTGTGTGTGGTCAGGCGTTTGCTCAGAGTGGGACTTTGGCAACTCACATGAAAGTACACAGACCTAAGCAATAAAAAAACACTTTTTATTTCACCTATCGTCACCATACAGTGCAAAATAGGTAGGATATTGAAGACTGAAGTCTTTTTGTTGACTTGTCTGTGGTGATGATATTTATTTGATCTCATTATACAGTATTTAAGTGGTTACTGTGAAGAGTGCAACCAACCATATTCCTAATTTAATGTTTTGTCTAAAAAAAGTAATAAATGACTTTGTATTATTTATAATTATTTGTTTATTAATATAAATACAATTATTTTCTTATTTTTATTCACTTTCTTCACTGGATTCTGAGTCTTTTAGTACCTTCGCTTTATCGAGTTTTCTAGCTCTTCTTGCTTCAATATCGGATCCTTCTTCGTCAGATGAGTAAATAGCGCCACCTTAAAAAAATAGCCGTTCGTTAGAATTTTTCTAATTCATTAAGACTTAAAGTAGCCCCCAATTTCAGGATTTGATTCAAGTTAGGATTGTACGACAATTTACGAAGTCTGGCCATGAAACGCCAAGAAAACAAAACTAGCCATTCGCCGGCTGAACCTTATTACAATATATCAGTAGTTATATAGTGGGGGTTCTAGACCAGGTCAAATGAGGTCAAACTGGTCCAGCTCCCCCATTACTTTTCATCGAGCGGTCATTGACCTTTCATTTGTTGTCGAGCTTGTCGGTGCACGTGGCTGACCTTGCCAGCTGGTCCAGCTCCCCCATTACTTTTCATCGGGCGATCATTGACCTAGTCGTTGCTCGACCTTGGTCGTTTATTGCCCTCGTTCATCTCGAGATCTATCCCCTCTTTTCGTTTAGGTCGGGGAGGGATCTCGGACGCAATCTCGCATCCCCACTTCCGTTTTATACTTGTATAAAAGTCGATGGATTCGTGTGTAAGAATTAATTAGTTTTTTGAATTCAATTATTTAACACTTAGAAATGTCATCTTTCATTTCTACCTTGAATAAAGAGTCTCACTTGCAAGCTTTTGTGAGTGCGAAAACTTTAGAAGAAAATAAAAAATTTTTAACAAAAAATTTTAGTAAACTGTCTACAAAGTACGGTGACAAGATATTTGTGCAACTTGAAGAGTCTAGAACGATACTTCCACAGAGATTTACCGAAAAATTCACCGACTCAGTGATCAGCGATCTGAACCAGAAGATCGTGAACGGCTTGAAATTGTACTTGGTAAATAGAGGTCCGATCGGTCGAACCATCAATATCGAATTTATCGAAGAATGAAGAAGGCATTGGTTCATGTGGAAAACAAATCAAGTGCAGTTAGACTGCTTCGTCGTAGATTAGAATTACATTTAAAACGAATTAGTTATTTAAAAGAAGCAATTAAAATGTATGAAATAAGAACTAAATTGAATAATCTTAAGCTGTAATAGAAATTATAATAAATATTATTTAATTCGTTCGGTGTATTATTTTCCCCAGTCTCATGTAAAAAATATTTGATTGCAAACTGTCATGAATAACAGACGTGTTTGTTTCGACAAAGTTCCGGTTATTTTCTTAATAAATGATAAAGAAAGCCGAATTAATACTTGGTTATACGATGTTAAAAGATTTCAAATGAATGTGGAACGTTTCGAATTGCAAATAAAGCCCTTAATCGAAAAAATGATGGAGAAGAAGCGAAAATTTAGAGAAACAATCGAAAAATTGGATTCAGAATTGAAAATTATTCAGCAAAGAAAATCAGTTAAATAACTGTGCACATTGCGGTTAAACCACTGCGTCATAAATTAGATTTAAATTTAAAACTTATTAGTTTCTTAAAATGTATAAAATACGAACTAGTTTGTATAATCTTAAGCTGTAATTGAAATTATAATAAATATTGTTTATTTCGTTTGGTGTATTATTTTCCCCAGTCTCATCTAAAATTATTTAATTGGGAATAACAGCAACGAATAAAAGCCGTGTTTGCTCCGACAAAACTCCTGTTATTTTCTTAATAAATAAATGTTCATCAGCAACTTTCTGCCGATTTAAGCTTATTTGTCCGTGATTATTAGAATAAAATCTCAAATGTCAGAAGGCGAGTGTGTTGTTAAAAATTAAAAAAATTGTTACTTACGACATTGAAAACAGGCAATAAAATCATCCGTTCTCCCTCGAAAACATTCAAATACACGCACACTTCACAGAAGCCACCATTTAGTTCAACAAAACCACCTTTTTCCCAAATCTTTTCACGGTAAAATTCATAAACCGAAACACGCCGCCCGTCATTATTACAACACAGAATGAAATAACGCGATGCTGTTTCAGCAAATTCTTACGGAACTGGACGCTTTTGTCGCAATAGACAGGGACGTATTCGGAAATATTAAAAAAAAAAAGAATTATCGCTTGAGGGTGATAAAGGGCAGAAAGTTTGTTAAAAAAATAAAAATGCATCCCTATAAACTAATGACACATTTGTGTAAAAATAAATGTGGGTTGGAGGTGCAATAATTGTTTAAATATAAAAAAAAAAATGTTTTACTCGAAGACGGTAAGAGATACGAGGTTCGTGCAAAGAACAAAAAAGTTCCTAAAATACGAAACACATGCACCTGTGTCGACGGTTTTTAGTTTGAGTTTAGCATTTCGGAGAAAAGGGCAAAAGTTTGTGGTGACCAAACGGAATTAGTTAAAAATTTGTTTTTTGTGTCAAAATATTTTTGGATGAATAATCAATAGGTCCATGTAATTAAATATGTGAAAATTTGAGTTTGGGGCGCAACAATTTTTGGCAAAAAAGGTTGTCAAAATTCGAAAAAAAGTTTTCCTTGAGCAGTAGGAAAGTAAATTAGAAGTTTTGGTGAAAAAAAAAAATTTAAAAAATTCAAAGAATCCAAAGAAAAATTAAAACAAAAAAAATCTCAAAAAAAAAAATCCAAATTTTGAAAAGTTTGTTTTTCCACAAAATCAAATGCATATTCATGAAGTACTATCTAATCGTGTGTAAAAATGATTATGACTCATAGGTGTATCTACCGTTTAAATAGAAAAAATTTTTGTTACTCGAAAATGGTAAGAGATAGGAGGTTCGTGTATAGAGCAAAAAAGATTGACAAAAACAAATAATATCGACAGCCGTCGACGGTTTTTCGCTAACTTTTGACATGACTGTGAAAAGGGCAAAAGTTTGTGGCGCCCAAACGGTAAAACTTAAAAAATATATTTTTGTACCAAAATATTTCTGAGTGAACAGTCTATAGGTCCACTTAGCAAAATAAATATTTTTTGCTACCGTTTAGTAGTAATAACGAAAAAACGTCATAGTTCGTAAGCGGTAAGAGGTAGCATGTCGGCTCAGGGGAACGGGGAAAAGCTAAAAAAATTAAGCCATATGTTGAGCAAAAAAAATTTTCAAAAAAGTTGAAAATAAGGGAGAAAAGGGCAAAAGTTTCTAGTGTCCAAATGGTAAGAGATAGAATATCGGTTGTATACATCAAAACCTTCTTCTGGAACGAACGCATAAGTCTGCTCAAAAAAATCGATTCTGTCCACATCGACCTAGATACAGGAGCCATTTCTAGTTTTTTCGAGGTCGCTACGTAAAAATTTTTTCAGGTCGAAAAAAAGACCATCGAAAAAGGATTCGAATAAGCCCAACATGCAACACTTAAAAAAAAAAAAAAAAAAAAAAAGCGAAATAAGTTGTTCTTTATATGTATTGTTATATGACTACTACCATCACAACTAAATATACTAAGACATTAAAAAAAAAAATTTCAAGTTAACCAAAAACGGCTTTTTGTTGAATTTTATATGAAAACAACAAAACATCATTAAAAAGCGAAAATCAAAAACCTATAAACAATCATCAAAAATCACTGCTGTGGTGGTAGATCGTGATGAGTCATATCGTGCTGCTGGACAAATAATTTAAAACATATTAAATCACTTATTGTTGTATTAAATCGTAGTACTGATGCTGTTAAATAAATATGTTAAAGGACATTAAATAAAACTATTAATAGTAACTAATTGTTTTATTGAATCATACATTTGTTTGAGTATTGTATTTACTAAAATAACTGAAACAAATTAGTACTAAATAAAGTAACAGACAAAATACGATTGCAAAAATAATTGCTCCTACTGAAGTAAATATCCATATCCATGGTTTTGCCAAACAATATTCTGTAACATTTGCACCTGTAGAATTCCTGTATCCACTATAATCGTTAAAGATGGTGTAATTCGGAGACTTGCATCGAGTGTTGTCTTTGAAGACTAATTCTAGCCGATATTGCAGTTGGTTCGAGGAAGATACATATTTTGAATAAAACATACGTAGTTGTTCATGCCCATTTTTAATTTCTAACATTTTTCTAACAGTACATTCTTTACTACTATCAATAGTTTGTAGATAGACATCAGTAACATTGCTATCAGTCAATAAATAAAAATCTTTCTGAATTAGAATGGTTGATAGAACAAGTGTGCAGTTTAAGCCGAACATTGTTTGGATGAAATGAATAGTTTGTTGTTGCGGAATTCTATATATATAGCAACAACCATCACCACCACCATTAACGAGCAGCCAGGTCCCAACATCCCACTATTACAGTCATTATCGTGAATATGACAAAAAATGAAGCAAACCATACACGATCGTTTCTTAAACAAAAATCAATGACCTCCTTTGAACTGCGACTATTCTTAGTATTTTCTATTATTAACCAATTGGAAAATTGGTGATTTTCTTCTTCCGTTTTTATCTTGTACGTCAAATGATTCTGCATTGTTATATTTTTCGCATAGAAGAGGTGATAACTGGTTTCGATTAGATTGATCGGAGTCATTTTTTCCCAAAATTCTTTTTCGTACGTCTGAATATACAGCAGACTTATATTTGAAGTGGTGTAAATATACAAGTTGTTTTCAACTAGCACACTTAATAGTATTAACACATTGCTAGGCAGAAACATCTTAGACTTATCTTCTTGTACACAGACACAAATACTTAGTTGTGGTCGTTGATATTTGTAGGGAAGAAGTTTTTAGAGGTGGTAAATGATGGTGTGGTAAATGATGGTGGTGGGGTGATAGCGATAGAAATAACAAATTATTGTTTTCTTATATATTTGTTAAATGTCGCATGGTAGGCGTTTAAGGCTGTTCTATCTAAAAACAGGGATCTATCTAACTTTGGCACATAGGTCCCTGAGAATTCGTTGTCCCAGTTTTCCACTTGCGGTGGTGTTGGTGGTGGTTGGCTGAACCACTTTGATGGTG